TGTATATATATATATATATATAGCAGGATACGTTTCGTGACCATGTGCGTGTCTTGTGATAATAATAAAACATGTGACTTTCATATGTAGGACTTGACGTTCGCACAATGGTGGCCATGAAGAGATATGTATTGTCGGATATAACACCGTGTAGTACTTTGAAAGCCAACAGGTGTTTTGGAGGAATATTTCGCCTTCATCTTCATGGTTGATATATAGGAGACATGTTCCTACAAAGTGTCCATTGACTTTCAACTGCTACACGGCGTTATATCCGAGAAAATAGAACGCTTCTTTCATGAATATTTTTCGCGTACGTACAATGCATGTATAAATAGCAAACATACACCTCGCACATTGTCATCTGAAGGATGAGCGTATATCATAATACAGAATAGAACATAGAAAGGAACAAACTGCAAAAGAAAAGGGTTGGAAAATAATATGAAAAGAAGGAGGGAAAGAGATAAAGTTCCGAAAATAATGAAGGAAATTATATATGAAAGACATAAAGCTTTCTAATTTTTTATTATATTATTTATTATTATACTGCAATTGGGTTTTAGCCCGGTGGCAGTAGTACACAATAGGACACAACAGACAAGTAACACACATTACACTAAGTGACAACACGTTCAAACAAAACACAATACACAAAACACAACAATAAGGACATCCTACCACAGTGAATACAAGAGAGCCCTTTTCCGCTAATTTATTTCATTAGCATTACACATCCATGAGGTCAGTCACATTGGCCGCCCGTCTAAGACCTGAACTGTCTTCGCTCGCTCAAACGCTGGGATCGTGGGTTCGAATTTCACCGAAGTCATAGATGTTTGGTGTGTATATGCGTTTATCTGTGTTTGTGTTGTCCTGCGTGTAGGCAGCGGCTTTGCGACGGGCTGATAACTAGTACAAGTAGTCCTATTGTGTATGTGAAATGATTACGGAACTGAGTAAGGGGCCTGGGCCCTGAATGGGCTGGAAGAGCCATTGAAAAATAAAAGCATACTTGAATTTCAGTGTCGGTTCATAATATGAGGCAAAACTCGCGGAATATGTTTAGGAGTTGAAGTTTATGACCATGAGATATGGAACACAAAATTAAGGTATCGAAATTTATTAATCATAAAACGTATTTATGATTGTAAGATGTTAATTAAATGCTTGCGCAAATACTACGCTCACATTTCAGAAAAATTATTGCACTTTATATTTTCGCACGGTGGATTATGTTCGACTTATTGGAGAAATATTTAGCCTGTTGCATGGAATTGACGCCTCTGTGGTATAGTGGTCAGAGTTCCTGGCTACAGATTCAGATGTCCCGGGTTCAATTCCCGGCTTTACCAGATTTTCTGAGAAATAAAGGGTCTGGAACGGGGTCCACTCTGCCTCATGAGGATAATTAAGGACTTATTTCAAGGAAGTAGCGGCTCCGGTCTAGAAAACCGAAATTAACACCTGTGGAGGTCAGTTGCGCTGACAACGCAAGACCCTCTATCCGCTAAAGTTGGCGCTAACTTCGCCGACAAGCGGCGTTCGCTCGATCGGTATAGTTCGCTTTCGGACTGTTTTGTTTTTGATGTATGGAAAGTATTTTGAGGCGAAACATGTGGACAAATACGATGTAGTGTTAAAATATAAGATAAATAATTGGTGATCAGATTCAAACAGATTTCAGAGTCAATGTTATTATTGCTGCAGTTTCAAACAAGCACTGAATGCAAGGTGCCAATTGGAAGATATATTTCTGTCGGCTTCCGTTTCCGCATGAGGTGGTTTATATTTCACTTCTTTCCTCCACTCGAAACCCACATCAGTAACTTGCTTATGGAATACCACCAAAGCAATGAAGTTATAACGCCTTTCAAATTTTACAACACAAATTTAACTTTAAATATTTTTTCTGTTTATTATTTCTCTTTCTTATTCTTTCAGTCGGTGAATTATTCAAGGCGTGTATCACAGGATTCGCTACTTCAAGATTTCTCTCCTTCAGCACGAGTGAGAGTGATGTGCGCATTAAGTCCATCTTGGCACAAATAATCTGAATATTTTATCACCAGGGAGCAGTCTCGTATGTGGTCGCCATTTTAATTCATGTAAACTCCGCCCAGATATTTAACCAAATGAAACATTAGCTACATTTTTACGTTATACATCGAAATTACATAATTATTAACAGAACTGTTCATATTCAGTTAATAAAAGAACATGATAAATGTAATTAGAAATAATATAGTGAAGCAGGCGGTAGCGTAGTTGGTTGAGGCACTGTGCTATAGACCGAGAGGTAGTGAGTTCGAGGTCATTGGATTTTTTTACTTGACATATTCTATCCAGCCATACTATGGTCCTGGCTTCGACTCAGCCTCTAACAGAAATGAGTACTAGATTACTCCTGGGGGTAAAGGGCAGCCGGAGCGTAAGGCTGACGTCACCACCATGTGTGAACCTCTTATCTAGAAAATATGGTAGCCTTGACGTCTGCGTCCACGGCCTGTTACAGGGATAGCCTAATTTTTTCGTTTTCAAACAGTTCAGTTTTTTTTTTGATTTCATGGCTTGAAGAAACAAATTGGAAGTGTTTGCAAATATTAATATTTTCAATTTCTCTCTATTCACGTGGGTTGCTTTATGAGCTACAATGAACTGCGGCTTATTCGCCACTGCGATGGATACACATGAATAGGTTAGATGGGAAAATTAATACAGTGAACGCTCGTCTGAAGCGTGCGATTCGCTCCTTGAAAAGGGCGGGTTAGGTGAATCCACGTTTGATGACCTCAATGGCTATGACAACTGAGGTGTATACTTACACTTTTACGTTACTGAGTAAAGAAAACCAAATTGGTTGTTCGGACGCAGACAAAAGCTTAATTGCCTTTAGCATTTTAATCGGTAGTGATATTACTCGTGTGCTACCAAGGTGTTTAGCAGACCGCGTATAAAAGAATCCGCTGTAAAGAGGGAGTAATACATACCAAAGCCGGTCACGGTAGCCGAGCGGTCTAAGGCATGTACTGCCTTCGCTCGCTTGGAAACCGGGATCGTGGGTTCGAATCCCACTCAGGGCATGGATGTTTAGTATGTGTGTGTGTTTTTCTGTGTTTGTGTACAGGTAGAGGCCTTGCGACGAGCTAATCACCCGCCCAAGAAGTCCTACCGAATGTGTAAGATCTAGAAAAACCGAAGTGAACGAAGAAGTTCATGGAGATAGGCCTAGGCCCACTGGGGCTGTAGTGCCAAGGAACAAAAAATATACCAAATGACTGAGTGATCTGGTTTTCCACGTAACCAATTTAGATGTATCCCCACAGGTATCAATAATATTTCGGCTTTCATTCCAGTGGTAAAGAAACTAAAGCTATCCTTGTACCAGGCCGTGAAGGCCCATAGGGTTGTGAGATGCTGAGGGTCCCACATTATCTAGACAATCGGCTCAAAGATGGCGGTAAGGTTGTCAGCCTTACATTCCAGTGGTAACAGTATAAAAGAATATTTGTATAAAACACCAAGCAGGGACATATCACTATCAACCTGTATGGCCTTCAGGAGTAACCTTGTTTGTGTCTCATCTTGTAATAGTATTGTGTTACTCGTGGGTTTCCTCAGTTCTCCTTTCCTAAATATTTCCTAGATTTGGGATAAGTGACGTAAGGGGAAATAAATTTAACGTGAATTACCTCTTATATATTACTGAGAGATATTAAGAATCAAAAGTGAATAACGAGTTAAGGAAAAAGTGTAGCATACAACAGAAAATTTATTTAATATATACATTCATTTAATATAAAAGTTATATGGATCTATGCGAAACAATATAACATACAACAATCAAACATAAAGCAAGTATGCGGAGTAACGTAATTAAAAAACTGCCATATTAACAAAAACAGTCAGTGGCTCTAGAGAAAATATAACTGATAATTAATAATTTAACATCAAAATCATTTCAGTAAAAATTAATTGAATTGTAACAAAACACATAAATAATAAAAACATGTATTAATATAGGAGTATTACTTATGGGACGTTAACCTAATATATTCCAACAGTTCAGACGAAGTCAAATTTGAACTAAGCTCTACATTCAGCCTACCTTTTATATCAGGGCTGTGCAACTTAAAATCACTGAGCGGCCTCATTCTACCTTAGATACTTGCGGGCCACATGCTTCTTGCGTGTTTGCAAATTGGACATCCCTGATCCATATCATACGTATTATTATGTATACAACTCTATAAATTGCATCCTGTTGTTTGTATATTATTAGATTATTTTGTATTATGACCGTCAACACAGCAACAACAACCGTGAACAACAGTCAACAGTCAATCGTTACCCGAAGGGTTGTGTTGACGGTTATAATCAGGACCCGGATTTTGATGACCTGAAATTATTTAAAAAATGACCTATAAAATGATCGAAAAAATCCAGAAAAATTACCTAAAATATGACCCAAAATATAATATGCAGGGCCCAGATTTTGATGACCTGAAAATATTAAAAAATGACCTATAAAATGATCGAAAAAATCCAGAAAAAATTACCTATAAAATACCGAAAAATCCAGAAAAATGACCTAAAGGAGAAAGAGAAAGAACACTTCGCTTCCATGTTATTCACATTTCAGAAAACATATGAAGAAAAATTCCCTAAATTGGCCAAAAATGACAAGAAATACCCATAAAAGTCCAAAAATTTACCAAAAATTACCTATAAAATTTACATTTCTGTAACCAGCAACTCATATCCGAGATTTACATATTTAAGAGCATCGCATAGGATGCAAGGAAAAAAAGATGACATGTCATCAAAATCCGGGCCCTGGTTATAATATAAACAAGAATCAAATCCTATATACAAAACATTCTAGTTCAACCCTCCTTACTTTTTAAGAATATCGGTGAGCCAATCTTTCTTAACATGTACTAAAGATTGCTATGCCGTTTGTGTATTATTGTGGGCTTTGCTTTCTTTTGTTTCAAGGTAAGACCTACAAGAATATAATATCCTGAGTCAGTTTCTGAGATGCTCAGCTTTCGCAAGTCTTGACCAACGGATGTAGAGACACACTTGCACCGGCACAGCCCACATTGTTCTGGATGTAATCGTGGAAGTTGGACTCCAGAACCCACATGAGACGTTTGTAACCAGGTACAACATGTGTTGCTAACCGACATTCGTTGCCTTTCTGGACAAGCAAGAAATTTTCAGACTTGAAAGATGTTTCAGTGTTCCACATATAGATGTTACTTTCACCTCTCAGACGGAAGAACATGGCAGAACCATTGTCAGTTCCCAGAACAACAAGATTGCCATTTTTCTGACCAACATCCACAACAGTACCTCTGGCAGATCCTCGATGGAGATAGTGGGTCTTAACTGAGAAAAGGTGTCCACTTGACAAGTACGTGAAATATAAAACATTCGTGCCACAGGATTTTCTGATCAGAGCAAGATAAAGCACGTCTTTTCTTGCAGAACCCTGAGTCACTGCTCTGGGTAATACAACGCGGTAACCTCTGCTGTTAGCGACGTCATATACAAGTATTGCTCTCGTAGCAGCGTCACTAACATATACAAAACACCGTCCTTCCTTATCGTATTCCACTACGATATACTGGAGCCTGCTAACCGAGGAAACTGATTCTGAGAGATCGATAGTTTTGATGACTTTACCCGTCTTCGTGTTGATAGCCACGATCTTAGGAGGACAACGTCTAATCGGTTGCTCCAATGTGTTGACGATACCAACATCCAGGACCCAAAGTATATCCTGTACGTCAAGAAATATATCGACAGCGGACTGAAGTGCCTGGCAGTTTCCTTCTTCTTGAAGACTCCAGCAAGGAAATGGAGTGATTGCAGGATGAGAGTTTTTAGATTTGAGTGATATTTTGCCCACGGTAAACGGCACACCTGTCTTGTAACGAGGAGTTAGGACGATCGCTTCGTCTTTGTGGATCTGTACCCTAGTGATGATGACATGCTGAGAGATGTATCGCCCTGATGAGGTGTAAATACTCTTAGTGGAAGAGCAGGGCCAGTCCAGGTTGTCGCCGTTCAGCATGAAGTTGAGGTCTGGGAGCAGTTGCTTGTTGCATGATCCAGACACGCAGCAGATCAGGGTGGATGTTGCTATGGCGATGAACCAATGAGGCAGATATTTCATCCTGAAACAGTTTGTTTCTGAAGTATGATGAGTTTCCTTGAATTTCTATATTAAAGAACGAACTCAGGGGCTATATAATTATATTTCCTGATATGGAGGATATGCCAATACCAAAGTTCTTTCTAGCTTTATCTCTCCATCTTCTAATATGTAAAATGTATACAACTATAATTTTACATATTTTATGTGGGTGTGAAACTTAACCTCTAATCGTAAGTGAAGAACAAATTGAGGACGATTAAAGAACCTGTGGAGGAGAATATTTCGACCTAAGAGAGAGCAAGCGATAAGAAAACAAAGACAAAGGCATAATGTGAAGTTTTATATTTCGTACTTTTCTCTAAACAGTAATTGCACCCAGGAGGAAGGGGGTGCAGTATCACGCAAACGAGGGATGAGGACAGAGTAAAAAATTTCATTGGAAACCATAAAGGGAAGAGACCTATTGAGAAACTTAAGCATATTTGGAAAGATAATATTAAAATGTATATTAATTAAATAGTATGCGAGAATGTGTGCTTGATGGAACTGGCTCCAGGTGTCGGTGTTAAATTTTCTTAGCCTGAGGCTCTTTGATGTGAATAAAATTATATAAGCTCCACAGTTTTTAAAATGATTTCAAATATTATTATCAGTTAATTACTGATGAAGCTTAATTATATAAATGAAGTGTTTTATTACTTATTACGTTGTATTTTAATGTGGATTTCCTTATCCATATATGTGCACCATAAATCAGAATATTAACATTCTCTGCGGGCTCCTGAAGGAAGATTTTCAGAGTCCCTACGAGACCGTGATGCTCACTTCGGTAAACGTTGGGGGGGGGGGGGGGTTAGGTCATTAAAAATCACCTTTCAGGAGAAGAAACAAATTTTAAATATATGTGCAGTAATTTAGCCTACTTAACATTCCACTTTTTTTTCTCTTGGCACTACAGCCCCAGTGGGCCTAGGCCTACCTCCATGAACTTCTCCATTCACTTCGGTTTTCCTAGATCTTACACATTCGGTAGGACTCCTTGGGCGGGTGATCAGCTCGTCGCAAGGCCTCTACCTGTACACAAACAGAAAAACGCACACACACAAACTAAACATCCATGCCCTGAGTGGGATTCGAACCCACGATCCCGGTTTCCAAGCGAGCGAAGACAGTACATGCCTCAGACCGCTCGGCTACCGTGACCGGCTAACATTCCATTACTGAAGAGAATTAAGCGATGAACTCCTCTGTTTTTCACTCTCTTTTACTCACTTCTCCTATCACACTGCACAAAAAAGCTGAAATCGCATAAAATATTTTTATAAATAATATTAGTTTAAAATTGTAGAATGTGAATTTAAATTTCAGAAAATAAGTACAATTCTCGGCGTCACGAGGTAGCATAGTTGGTTGAGTCACTATGCTACAAGCCGGAAGGTGACGGGTTCGATTCCCGATGAGATTGTTGAATTCTTCAATTAACCTAATCCTTCCAGGCGCACTATGTCCCTGGGGTCGACTCAGCCTCTAACAGAAATGAATACCAGGAATCTTCCTGAGGGTAAAGGCGGCCGGCGCGTAAGGCTGACAACCTTATAGCTATCTGTGAGCCGAATGTCTAGAAAATGTGGCAGCCTCGACGTCTCAAAACCCTACGGGCCTCCACGGCTTCTTATAGGGATAACTTTACGTTTTTAGTACAATTTTCAGTTCCGCTAATGAAACTCTTACCTCTACTGTAAAATATAAATTGAATTAATCAGATGATAGAATACACAGTTCTGTTTATGAATGTATCAGCTGTTATGTAGGATGTAAATTCGAATTTTCAGAGGACAAACACATTTTGCGATGCTTTTTGTAACATTCTCACCTGTAATGTAGAAAGTAAATTGAATTTTCAGAGGATACACACAGTACACAATTCTGTTTATGTAAATCTCACCTGAACAATTGTACAACGAACTTGTGGTCGAGTCAGAACACAACTTTGAAATGTGTATGCAGCACATCCCTCGAACCTTTACTTTATACCAACCTTCATCTGTCAACGTAACCACTTGGTGTGACGTAGTATAACTCTCAATCCTTGAACAGTGTTGTGCTGTTTTCAGCTGTGGCATCCCTTTTTGGAACGATTGTTTCTCATTTTTCTGGCAGAGTTGCATTTTTACTATCTCTAGTCTGTAACCTCGCTCTACTGTATTTCGCTGATTCTACTTGCACTTGTTTGCTTGTCATTTGTTGACAAGGTCCCATCTTCCTGTCATGGCCGTTCGTTCGCTGCACTAACATTTGTTGCTCGTGTACCGCTATCAATGTACGTGTGTCGTGTTTTAATATCAATATTTATGATACTTTTTTTAATTCGCTTAGTGGGGGGTGGAGTCCAACTGGGTCCACTCGGCACGGCGGCCACTGATTGGCCTATTGTACCTGCCCCGGGTAATTATGATGATGGAGAATTTGGTGGAATGAAGATTGGTAGGGGAAACCGAAGTACTCGGAGAAAATCTGCCCAAGCACCATTTTGTTCACCACAAATCCCACTTGACCAGACCCGGGATCGAAACCGGGCCTAAGCGACTAATCGCTTGAGCTATGGCACGGCCTTATGATACATTTACTATCTTATCAGCTAGCTTAGAAGTATGAATATATAATTAAACTTTCACATTTTTGTAGTTCGAAGAATATAGCACAGAATTCTCAAATCCTATCACAGTGGTCACGTCTTAAGCTCTTGCTGTGTCCAATCGATCGAACACTAGGAACGTGGGTTTGAATCCCTCTAGGGGTACGATGTTTCGGTGTTTTTGTTGTTCTGAGTGGATAAAGGCCATGAGATCGTTGAGTCCTCTTTCCAAGGTATCCTGTCAAACGTTTAGAAGATTAAGGCTTTCAAAATTTAATTCTGAACTGGAATGAAGTAGCGACACCACGTGATATACAGGTATATGAACATGTTGCACATAAGGACGCTATAGAGAAGATAAATCTCTTGCCTCTGCCGGTAATCGAACCCCCGGTTCCTTGGTCATCAACCTCTTATTCTAGTTACTAAGCTGACTGAACTACTCGAACACGTAGACTGTGTCACTAAAAGTACATGTTCATAAAACAAATTAATTTCGCAGTCATTATCATAGATATGATTATGAAATTAAATTTAAATGAACCGAAAAATATATGCACTAAAACAATGAAACAAGATTTGAAGTCTGATTTATGCATCAGCCTTTCCTGCACTACATAATTTTTTAGGCATCTGGAATTCTCAGAATATTTCCATTCAACTTTATAAATTTCTTTTCCTTTTCTTCATTTTAAAACACTTCATGAGTTTTGTATTTTCCTGTCACTAATGAAAAGATTAACTTGATATTTAATATTTTAATTATGTCGGTCTCTTATACCTTTAATTTTCTTGTTCAATCATTCATATTGGTTATATTCTTACACAGAATCATACTTGGTGCAAAGTCTAAGCTGTCTCTGCAACAGGCCGTGGATGCCCATACGGTTATGAGACGTCGAGGCTGCCATATTTTCTATGCAATCGGATTAGAGATGGCGGTGAGGTTGTCAGCCTTACGGGCCGGCCACTCTTTATCCCCTGATAGTTTCCTGGTACTCATTTCTCTTAGAGGCTGAGTAGAGTAGGCTGGAAAGATTAGGTCAATTGGAAAATGCAATGACATCATCGAGAATCGAACCCGCGACCTTCAGGCTTGTTGCATAGTGCCTCAACCAACTGCGTTACCGCATGCCACATCGTACTTGGTGTTGCGAGGAAAATAAGTCCAGGAAGACAGATTTGTCGGTGTCATTGACATTGACGTCTTGAAAATCTCTGAGGTGTTGAAATATACTCCTTTGTACTTCAGTGAGGTCAGATGAACAAGACCTCTAAAACTGTTTTATTTCCCGTCGTAAATATTATCACTCTTGAATTTTACCTGCTGTATATATTGGAATTCAGTCGCAGACAGTGAAAACCAGTAACCCGCACGTCGTCACGTACAGAGCATTAGCAACTGTGCGAGTAGATCCTGAATCAGCGAATCGTTTTCAGTTTGCATTCCATAACGGAATTTTTTTTAAAATTATGTTTTATATATGTAAAAATTAATTTTGCATTACTACATGACTCCTAGTTCAAACTAATACCTCGTAATTTGCTTTAACGTAAATTACCACTAAACTGCATAATGAGGAGCTTCATAACTTGTACTCTTCTCCGAATATAATTAGAATGATCAAGTCAAGGAGGAAGAGGTGGGCAGGGCATGTAGAACGAATGGGGGAGGAAAGCAATTCATATAGAAAACTGGGGGAAAGCCAGAAGGAAAGAGTCCACTGGGAAGACCAAGGCGTAGGTGGGTGGACAATATTAAGATGGATCTTAGAGGGACAGGATGGGATAGTATGGATTGAATTGATCTGACTCAGGATAGGGAGCAGTGGAGGGCTCTTGTGAACACGGTAATGAAACTTCTGGTTCCATAAAATGCTGGGAAGTTCTTGAGTAGCTGCAAAGTTGGCGGCTTCTCAAGAAGGGCTCAGCTTCATAAGTAAGTAAGTAAGTAATTAAATTACCATTACAATGTAAATATTTTTGGTCACGCGGTAGCATAGTTGATTGAGGTAAGGTGCTACAAGCCGGAAGGTCGCGTATTCGATTTCCGATGAAGTCAACGGTTTTTTTAATTGACCTAATACTTCCAGCCGCACTATGGCCCTGGGGTCGACTCAGCCTCTAACAGAAACGAGTACCAGGGATCTTCCTGGGGGGTGAAAGGCGGCAGGCGCCTAAGGCTGACAAACTTACCACCACCTGTGAGCCGATTATCCAGAAATAATGTGGGAGCCTCGACGTCCCGTTGTCAGTAACATTTTACAACGTATACAAACGAAACAAAGTTGAATGTACCTTTTACGTATATGTCAGGCAATGTTTGTATAGAGAACCAGTTGTTCGAACGTGAAAGTTTGAAATGTATCAAGTACCTGCGTCTTTAACATTTCATGTCCACCATTTCGTTTTTCTTGACCATACCGGGACTCGAACTCCGAACTCTTGGTCGTCCAGCCTGTAGCTAGTCGCTATACCAACTACGCTATCCCGGCTCACAACGTTGTGCCTGTGCTTAAATAATTACGCACCATGTTGTGAAGACGTATGAGGGCGTGGAAGTATAGCTCCACCTTTTTTTGTCTTCGACACCAATTAAGGGTAAGTGATCCAGTAACTGGAAAATGTATGCAGATACTGGATGTCTCTCTATGTATTCCTGTTGCTCCCAATTTGAGCAGAAGGAATTCATGAAACACTTCATTTCACTTCAATTATTTACAGTTAGACTGTCGGTAGGACTCCTTGGATGAGGGATCAGACCTGTTGCAAGGCCGCTACCTACACAGGAAAACAAAAATATAGAATAAAGGCAGACAAATATCCATGTTTTGAATGGGAATCTAACCCACGATCCCAGTGTTCTAGCGGACGAAGATATTTCATGCTTTAGACTGATCGACAGGAGCAGTGTTAACTCGTAAATTTTAATGGCTTTTTTGTTTTCAGAACCTGGCAATATTAGATGGAAAAACGCTGGGAAACTTTGTAAGTTAAGCAAGGTATAAATGTTCCCACTGTTTGCAATATGCATAACAATATTAAGGATCTGAATTCCATCAAAGCGAAGAATGTCTCCGTCATCAGGAAGATCCTATTTTTGAATGTTTCCTCTCGCATGTAGGACATCCCATCTGCAGTATTTAGAATGCTGTGATTCTGAAGTGCGCTAGAACTGAAAGCCTGGAGGTGCATAGGGAGAGGAGTGTATGAAATGAGTTATAATTCCAGAAACTCCTTACATATATTCGGTTTTATAACTTTATTTTTGGATATGCGCACATCGGTTAGTAATATTTCTATACGAAAGAATATTTCTGGATCTTCACACAGTGCTGTCCGACGACGGCCCACACCTGCCACTGGGAGTCGATAAACATGTGACTGACATGGGGCAAGGCCCTAGGGGACTGCAGCAGCACCGTGTGTGACTCGGCCAACAGAGGGCGTCTTGTGTCCCAGCGCACTGCGGCGTGGTCCCGCGGCAGGAAATAGTGCAGTCCTGCCCACAGGTCCAGAACAAAGCCGCGGGAGGGACCCAGTTTCATCCCAAGAAACTTGACAGACTCTCTTCTCACCTCCTGGAATCAAAACAGTCTAGTAACTACTTGTAAGACAAAGACGGACCTCTTTTTGCCCATTACGTTTTATTTAACCTAACGGCATGGGGGAGCTATTAATTCATCAAGAGATATTCTCTTGCATGCAGTTAGTTAATTAGTAAATCTGCTACTTAATGAATCTTCTAAAGTGGGGGTATGTGGCAGAACTCAGCTTGCTGCTTGTTCTCACGCTGGTTTCTTGCTTGGCTTATTCTTGGACTCCGAAGATGGAGGCGACGTGTTCCACTGAAAAGTCGATTGACTTTCAACGAAAAACAAGGCGCTATATCCCAGAAGATAGAACCAATCTGAATTCATCTAGTTCAACAGAAGTTTAAAATGAGTTAATTAAATATTTTCCATCGAAAACATAAGATTAATTACTAATTCACTCAGTGCCTGTCAATTTTTCAAAGAACAAATACATTCCGTTGCCTGTAGTCCGCAAGCGAACTATACCTACCGAGCGACCGCCGCTTGTCGGTGAAGTTAGTGCAAACTTTTACGGATAGAGGGTGTCGCGTGGTCTGAGAAACGGATCCCCACAGCCATTAGTTTCGGTTTTCTAGACTGGAGCCGCTGTTTCCTTGAAATAGCTCCTCAATTATCCTCACGAGGCTTTTTTTCCTTGGCACTACAACCCCAGTGGGCCTAGGCCTACCTCCATGAACTCCGTTCACTTCGGTTTTTCTAGATCTTACACATACGGTCGGACTCCTTGGGCGAGTGATCAGCTCGTCGCAAGGCCTCTACCTGTAGACAAACACAGAAAAACGCACACAGACATCCATGCCCTGAGTGGGATTCGAACCCACGATCCCGGCTTCCGAGCGAAGACAGTTCATGCCTTAGGCCGCTCGGCTACCGTGACCGGCATCCTCACGACGCTTAGTGGAACCAATTCCAGACCCACTGATTCTCAGAAAATTTTTCAAAGAGAATGCACCTCGAGATTATTCTTGTTGCTCTTGAACTTTAAAGGCGTTGAAAGATGGAACATAACAAACTAACATTTTTGTTCGGTCGGGGTGAGGACCGAATGGCTGACAGGTCGAGCGAGAACATGGGGTCTGTCTCAGGCGCCGTGAGATATAGGAGGGGCTCGCGTCTTGACAGAACCAAAGCCGCTGCGCCAGCAGAACGCAAATACGCCGCTTCTGGGCCCTTCACGTCCAGTCCGATCTGCCACCATCCTCTCTGTTCTACCACCAGCAGTGAGCCAGAAGCGGAGCCCCCTACGTAGGCGCGAGGTCCCCATGCACCAACAACTGTGTCCGCAACAACAGACGATAACATTCTTGACGTCACATTTCTGAGTTCCACTCTCCACACCTGTAAAACAAAGATCTGTTATGAAGAAAGCCATCTTCTGGTGTTCAGAACACACTCATTGGGGTCTGAAGGTACGCGCGTTCCTAAACATTTCCAGGAAGATGGATCGGCAGAGACGGTCCAAAGCCTTAGCCTCCACGTTCACCAGACATAACATCACTGAATTCTTCCTGTGGGGTTATGTCACGAACAGTGTGTTCTGAACACAAGTTAACAGACTTGATGACCTGAAGACCCGTGTCAGGATGTGATCTCGGCTATTCCAGAGGACATGCTCCACAGAACATGACAAGAGCTCGAAAATTGTCTGTAAGTTCTCCGTGCTACCAAGGGAGCCCACATCGAGGTCTACTGAGATCAGTAAACAACTTCCAGAGTTTCACTATGATCTGCTGCAAACCGCATATGGCTAGCTCAATTTGTTTACGCGAAACAATTTTTCAAAACCCCGACGGGACTTTGTGGACACACTGTACTTTAGAAGTGATATTGTAATGCTATCCTAAATCAACAAAGTAGAACATATGTTTCATATTCTGTTAATATTTTGTACGAATTGTTTTATTTCCCCCGTATTCCACTCATAGGTATGATCACGAACTATGAACAGTACAGGGTTGCATCATATTGCATGGATGAACACAGATATATAATTTGTTCCGTCTCACGACACATATTACATAGATAAGCTTAATATGCAACTGGCACGTCAATATATTAATTAGGTTAAATTACATACATAAACGCAAATTAAGGTAAAAATGTCCCCATAACAGGCCGTGAATGCCCATAGGAGTGTGAGAGGTCGAGGCTGCCACATCTTCTAGATAATTGGCTCACAGATGGCGGCAAGATTGTCAGCCTTTCGCTCCCGACGCCCTTTACCCCCCAGGAAGATTCCTGGTACTCATTTCTGTTAGAGGCTGAGTCGACCCCAGGCCAATAGTGCGGCTGGAAAGATTACATACATATTAGATGTAAATGTCTTAATATCATGTTTGCACGTATTAGAAAATTTAAGATCTTTAAGCTGGCAAATTCATACCGAGACACGTCGCCCATTTGTAAGTACTGGTAGTACTGTCACATGTATGGATGTGACAATAGACGGGGTTTGGATTGGTAATTGAATTTATTAAAAATTTGGAGGTCGTAAGTGCAAGTAACTACGTGTATGGTGCTGTCGCTAATTAACACATCCAGCAGCTCACTACAGCGCGTACTAAGTCTTCTCAGCCTGCTGTGTCTTCACCAGTCATCTGGTAACGGTTTCTAACGCCGTAGGTCCCATAACTTCCGTGTTGATGTTCTTACTGGCCGACTGCTCTCTCAAAACTGACTAAATTCTAGACTTGTCCTACTTTAACACCTCTACACTGACCGCATAGAAAACATCGCTTCAAACAGTTCTTCTATTTCTTCGTCACGCGACTATTGCACGGACCTCGCAGAGAACATCGAAATTAGCCCGTTGGTGACTGTTAGGAATCTGTTGTCTAACAAAGAACTTTTTTTACAGAGTCATTATTTAGCAACTGGTCTACATGCCACAACACATTATGCTTTGTTTGACGGAAAAATGCATATATCTGTACAAACTATGAGGTTCTTCGGTATGTACTTTTCTCCATCCTCTTGTTACCCCCTCCATATATTCCCCTCAGCTCTTCGTTCTCCTCCATATTCTTCCGCTGCTTTGAGGGCTTTGAGGGACCTTACCTCTTCATTTCTGCGCAGGTCAAAGACAACCACTTTAGGCCAGCAGGTCGAAGTGCCAGCGTCCAGAACCCAGAGTCGTCCTCTCATAGAGTCGACATCCAAAGCTGTTACGTTCTGGAGCGAAGTGCAGTGTCCCAGTCGTTGAATTTTCTGGTCGCCTCTGGGGTAGGGCCGAGGTGACGTGTTAGAGGCGGATGCTGCTGGCTGATGGGACAAACCACATTAAGATCTGAGCAATCTCTTCGCCGAAACTCTCAACTTATCCTGAGGTGCAGAAAGTGACGCCCGAACACTTATAATTTGTTCAAAGCATGTATTTAATTTTGCCACAAAATGAATATTTTTTGTTCATGAGCTAAGCAACCAGTTCTATAATACACTCCCTTGGACACAGCCAAATTATCTTATGAAACAAACCCGTCCACAATTCGTAGTTTATCGAATGATTCAACATGATTGCTAGCAAAATGTTAGTTAAATTAAAAAGGAATATAAGAAAATAATAAATTAAAATAATTATTTATTTCGTGCATTTAGGGTGTTATTCTCCTTAATATCACCCTTCTATTACATTTACTACGTAACAATTACATCACGTTTTATGAGAATTGAGATTTATAATAAATATTTTAATGCTTCTTCGTTTATATCCGACGCACGGTCTGAAGGATAAATCCTTGAGAACATATTTCAAGCAACTGATATCTGATATTACACACTTAAAACAATAAGAATACATTTCCAGCAACTGATAACTGATATTACAAACTTAAATCCACGAGAATATATTTCAAGCAACTGATATCTGATATTAAAATCTTAAATCCAAGAGAATATGTATATTTCAAGCAACTGATATCTAGTATTACAAAATTAAATCCATGAAAATAGTACATTTAAAGCAGCTGATAACTGGTATTACAAAATTAAATCCACGAGAATATAGTTCAAGCAACTGATATCTGATATTACAAATTTAAATCCATGAAAATATATTTCAAGCAACTGATATCTGATATTAAAATCTTAAATCCATGAGAATATGAATATATCAAGCAACTGATATTAGGTACTACAAAATTAAATCCACGAGAATATATTTCAAACAATTGATCTTACAAACTTAAATTCATGAGAATATATTTCAAACAGCAGATATCTGGTATTACAATTTAATATTTTCCATATTTTAATAAAAGTTACTGGAAAAACAGATATGTAATATTCTTTGTTATTTTCTTGGTTAAGAACCTGTTTTGGTGCAGGAAATTCCGTCTATACCTGTTGTGTTTCCTGGTTAGTGGAGTTTATAGTTTCGGGCCATGTAGCCTCTAAGAGCGTGGTTCTCACGGTCCCCGTATCGTATCTAGGTACGCAGATAAACGCCCTATTTCTCCACACAGCAACTTGTCCGAGAGGGGCGTGTAGCGGAGCGAAATAAGACAAATTCCAGCTCAAGGACGGAGCAACCAGAAGAGCCCAGAATACATGACGTAGACTGGTCGACATCGCTGCCTGTGGAGAGTGCAAAGTTGTACCAAGTCACTGAAACAAAGAACTCTTTGTATTGTGTGCAAAATATTGGACAGTTTCCATGCCATTCACATGAGAATTATCTCGAACCTTAGATTGTCTGTTCTGTCTGAAATGTTTGTGATTTTCTTCAGTCCCTTCAGGCAAATTCCGGGTCATCCATTCCGTCCTTGCCTTTTACGATTTATTATTCAGTACTTACCCTCCTATTCGACCCTGTACGGATTGAGTTGTTATGCCCATTGTAGTTAGTTTAGTTTAAGATGAAAAATATTATATAATAAACACAGGGTAATCGAAAAAAATGCTGAAATTATAAAAAAATTACTAAAAACTATTAAACACATCCATATGATTCAAACGTTACTTTACCAAGTAATGTCTGAAGTTTTTGTTTCACTTTAGTATGTTTCGTTATATGCTCAATTTGTCTCTCGGCAGATATCGAAACTCTATTCAGTCTAATGACAATTACGCTAAATCACATCTAGAGAAGGCTGTGGTCCTGTCCTGTAGATGCAGGAAATCCGGAATATTTTCACCATACACAATGTTCTTGGTATATCCCTACAAATAAAAATCCACAGGGGCAAGATCTGGACTTCTGGGAGGCCAAAATACTGGTCCGGCACTCCTATCCCCCCCCTCTTGCGCGTGAATTATATTTATTGCTCAACCGATAAAAGCATCTTAACGTTGCTCGCTACCCACCATCAGCTGAGCACATCCAAACTTACGTTCTTTCGCCGAATTTTAAAACTTGAATCAATTCGATATGTTTAATAATTTTCGAATGATAGGTTTTTATAATGCCGGCATTCTGTTTACGCCTTTAGCGAAAGAGTGATAAAATTATACTGTGTCTAATTTTTAGAAGCGTCGAAAAATTAAAGAACTCTGACGTTCATTTTAATTACACTTGCCAATATGAGGATTTATAATTTTTAAATATGATGATTATAGCTCCTCAATAAGTTGTTAAAATATTATGAAAGAATAAAATATGATATTAAATTGTATAATATTTTGTTTCTTGTCCGTCCTATTGTTCGATATTCTGGTTCTGCTGGATTGTCTGGTGAAGAAATTGAACTTGTGGAATTAATTTTTTGTATATAAGTTTTCTTTAAATAGATGTTTTATATTTCGACCGTGCAATTTTGTGTATGCGTATATTTTCTGGTCGGTTAACAAACAGTTGATCTTACCTGGACATCTGTAGAACTTACACAAGGAGACTAATCCTACCTCAGCACTTGATATAAGTAATATTGCTGAGGTCATGCCTGCTATTTGAATTAATTTGTGCAGTCAAAAAAGGAGGTTGCTGAATTTGCTATATTGTCACACTTACTCGTCTGCCTTGCTGACGTGTTAGTTGGGATGCCTACCATTCCAGAAATATTTCCTGATTAGTTTGTATGTCTCTCGTTAGATGACGCAGTTGTCGCTACAGGGAACGTCCCGTAGTGGCAATTCCTATAAACTGTTTTAGTTGTTTTCAAAGTAACTGTTTGAGCGCGTTGCGTTATTTCCGTTCCCACAGAGCATTGCTGTAATGTAATGGCTTCAGTTCCAGAGTGGCTGAGGGAAGTGATGTGCTAATGAAGATAATTGAGAAAATTGGTATTTAGTAACGTGCTTTAAATGTGTGTTCAGTTTTTAAGTGCCCATTATGTCAGAGAGGAACTCCACTAGAATCATGAAGTCGTCATCAGAAGGTGAAATCCTCGATAGAGAAGAGACCCAGTTGATAAGCGAGTCCTCGGATTATGGGAACCGTTATCCCGAGTCCAAGTTAAAACGCACGTTCACACTACCCCGAAATCCTTTCGTGTCAACGAGAATGAGTAAAAGAAAAGCCAAGCACAAAGAAGGGAAGGATGGTAAAGTTTCAGGTATACAAACTATTACAGAAGTCCAAAACTCAGAGACCCAAAAGTCCAATAAGAAAGTGTTCAGAAGACCCTCGTGGAAGAAGTTGTTGAACAAGGTTGTTCAACATATGTCCACAGTGGGTGTGCCCAATAATAAAAGTATGTGTGTTAATTATGAATGTAATAGGCGCAGGACAGATACAGTGTCCCTGTCATCATCAGACATTCGTGTTCCTCCAGTGCGCCCCACCCACCTAGCAAATTTAGCAAACAGTGACAAGGTCCCTGGTGTGATAGGTCTAAGGAATCATGGTAATACATGTTTCATAAATGCAGTTCTTCAGTGCCTGAGTCACACAGATATTCTGGCAGAGTATTTTGTGCTGGACCAGTATAAGGTGGATTTGTCTCGTAGAAATAAATTAAATTCAAAGAAGTATGGTACCAAGGGTGAAGTGACAGAGCAGCTAGCCCTCTTGCTCAAGTCAATTTGGTCATGTCAGTATGACCCAGAGATCTCAAATCAGTTCAAGTTGGTGGTGGACAAGTATGGTAGTCAGTATCGTGGCAACAACCAGCATGATGCACAGGAGTTCCTCGTATGGCTGCTTGACAAAGTGCACGAGGACCTGAACACAGCAACAAAGAAGAAGTACAAGATAATCAAGGTAAGTCCAACTAGCAACATTTGGATTGTGAGTGTTGTAGAGCTGTAATTTCCAGTCAGATTGATAATAAAGCAATTCATTTGTGACATATCAGTCACAGTTACAGGACTGCCTTAGATGCATATTCTCAACTGGCACATCCATTAATATGTAATTCCATTATCTCCGTTTATTTTTGCTTCAGGGTATTGACCTGCATTATTTAGTAAGCATGTTGCTTATACGCTATCTATTATGGAAACAAATGTATGTTATCATCAGATAGTGATGTAAACTGTTACATTGTCATTTGAAAGTCACTAGATTCTATTAAACATCTATGTATCCACAGTCCATCAATAATACAACAGTTGTTTATTTACTATTTAACAAATGGAAAGACAAACTGCAGAACAAACCCTTGGAATATCACATAGCTCCAAACAAGTGGATGACACCCTTATAGGCTTTACAAAAAAATTTTAATAGAAAATTTTAATGGATTTGAATTAATTATTTAAGTTGTTTTTAAGTTCACTGCAATGCGTGGTTTTAGCACATGTTAGAGCAGTGTAACAGTTTGGACGCATTAAGACACCTGAAGATGGCCATCTGTGGCCGAAACATGTTGTGTTAAGTGTTAAATGGTGAATAAACAATTCTTGCATTGTTGACGGACTGTGAATACATAGACGTTTAATTGAAGATTTGCGACAGAATGCTGGAATACAGAATTACACTAGATTCTATGTTCAAGATAGGTCCCAGTATTCATATGCTGGTGGGAAATTAGAACATGTACCTACAGAGGATTTTTCTTCCTTAAGGTTGCCCACACAAGATGTGACATACCCTGGTTGGTACAGTAGACAGGCCTTGTCATGTAACTGTTGGTCTTACTGTCAGCCTTGTACTGGAAACTGACCATCATGGTTGAGCAAGTAGCATTCCTGCATCATGTTTCGGAGGTCACAGGTTCACATCTTGGCACTGAGATCAGATCTGGTGACAGGCTTTTGTGATTTTCCTACTCACCTCGTCCAGAGTCAAAATACTACTTTAATCACGAGCATGACCACTTCCGTCCAAAACCTTTTGTCACATATCAAACTTGAAGACTTATTATTATATTAGATTGAATTATTGGAATTAATTAATATGATTGAGTTGATAATAATTAATATATATTGTTTATTCATAGAAGTAAAAGTGACCATAGCTGCTTAATGTAATTTATGTAGTTTAATGAGTAAAGTAGGACAATATTGTTTACTAAAAGCAAATTGCTTTTCTTAGAATTTTGACTTCATATCACAGTGTCAAAACCTTTGAAGTCTTACATGTAACAGGTTTCTATATAACACATGCTTCCACTAAATTAAACTTCTTCAGTTAATTTGGTTTGAAACACTTATGGAGTTTGTATGTATTTAACTGCTTAAACATGTTGCAGTAAGGTTCTGTGCAGCGTCTTTTACGAACTGACATTTTTGCAGTAATTTAAATGTGGATTTAGCCCTGTGATTTTATCTTTGGTGAATATAAAGTAAAAAAAGTAAAAGTAAAGCTATCCCTGTACCAGGCCGTGAAGGCCCATAGGGTTGTGAGACATTGAGGGTCCCACATTATCTAGACAATCGGCTCAAAGATGGGTGGTAAGGTTATCAGCCTTACGTGCCGGCCGCGCTTTACTCTCCAGGAAAATTATTTAATTAATTCCTAGTACTCATTTCTGTTAGAGGCTGAGTCAACCCCAGGGGCATAATGTGGCTGGAAGGATTAGGTAAATTGAAAAAAATCCACTGACCTCATCGGGACTTGAACCCACGACCTTCCGGCTTGTAGCATAGCCCCTCAACCAACTATGCTACTGCGTGCCCATCTTTGGTGAATATGCTTATATAAAATAAATTTCGTAGTTAATTCTCTTGTTACATTGCAGTCATTCCATTCCTTTGAGTGGAGGCTGCGCAGTTGTGTTTTGTATATCAACTTCATGGTACTGTGATGATATTGTTATATTGTCTCGTTTTCATGCGGTTGGCATTTTCGTGTTACTCTGTGTATACAAATGCATGGAAATCAGTTACTCTGTTACTTGTAATTGAACATAAATGTGACTTGATGCAATGTTTATGCAGGTGTCCCTCCACATCATATCTAGAATTAAATAGATATTGTGCAGCTCATTTCTGTGAGAAAATGTCGTGTGAACAATGGCTCATTTGATCATTGTTACTGAGTGAAGTGCCGGCATAGTGTCACTCAGAGTATGAAATAAATTTTCCTTTTAACTATTTAAATACCAGGGAGCCGAGTTAGCATAGTTGATATAGCAGCTGGCTATAGGCTGGATGGCAGAGGGGTCAGAGTTTGAGTCCTGCTAGGGCCAAGAATTTTCTCCAAGTCATCAAGGTCGGCTCTTTCCCCAGGAGTAAAGCAGGTGTAGCGTGAAACTGACCACTCACCTCCCACTAGTGCTGAGGTCAAGAAAATATGTATCTATACATGCATTCCCCCATATGCCTTCATAGCGTAATGCTTAATTAGTTTAGCACAGGGACTTACTATTTAAATTCCACCTTTATCAACTGAAAGGTTTATGGCTAAATTAAGTTTTTTAAGTGATCTCAGCTATCTTACATATATGATTCTAGGTGTTACTCAATTGAACTCTTAATGTTTTGATGCATTTTTGTTCTATTTCTTATTGCATTAGCAGCTTTCTATGTTTTGCAAACTCTGTCATCTTTTTTCTGGTGGGGGAGGGTGTCCAATATGGAACATCTTAAACTGTGTAGAGCCTTATAAAAAGGAGACCAACTTCATTGCTGTGAAAACCTGAAATCTCCTATTCACCCACTTTGAGGAGGAGCATTTTGTGAATAAAGCCACAATTTATTTCCCATAAAATATCTGTTAAGAAGAGCCTATCAGATGTGTCTCTCTGAAATGGAGACCGCAGAAAGGATTGCCCATTATTCCACACCATTTATTTACCAAAAATATACGCAGAAAATTACTTTGCCATGGCTAGTGGATTTCCATGTGATCAGAGTGCAAATTTGTGGGTTTGTCGTTGACATAATTGTGAGATGGAACTTCATTGGTTGCCATTTGTAAAACTCTGGCTTGGCACTTTTGGACCAGTAGGGCTAAATACCGTCATTGTGTAATTACAATTGTAAATACTATTAGTATTGTAATACTATTATTGCTATACCATTACTGTTGTGATTACTATTGTATTACTATTACTACTGTTACTATTGTGATAAATCATGAAAACAAGCCCAGGGCAATAGAATAGCAACATGAGAGCCCACAATGACTTTTTAATATGATGTGCTTTATAAAATTTACAATTTTAAGTTTGTTTTATTGGTGGTTCTATTAAATGATAAGGAAAATCACAATTCCATGTACAGTTGTAACGGAGATGATATATTTCAAATATAGAAAGTTGACGAAGGCGGCCAGTTTTCATTCGTGGACATCCTGATTCCAGTCAGATGTAAAAAATGACGATTCGCTGTCACAAGCATTAATGTTCTTGTTTTATTATAGTATTTTACATTCTGGATTTAACTGGTGTATTTCACTAAATAAAGTGGCAGTTGTTGTCATTTTTGCCACAAGAATGCTGGCCATGATAAGCATGAAATGTGACTAAAGCTGCGATATCATAAACAACATATTTACTGCCAACTTATGAAACAAAATTCTATGATATTTTTCTTTAAATATAAAGCAGTGTAGTATTACAAATAGGATGTGATTTTGCTCATGGTTGTCAGCTGATAAGAAACAATCGTGATTATTTTACGAGGTAGTTGGTATTGTTAAGACCTGATTAAGTCTGTTGCATGCAACTGTAAGATTTTTGCTTACGTTTATATACCTGCTAAAAGGTAAAGCTAACTATGTAACAGGCCGTGGAGACCCATAGGGTTGTGAGATGTCGAGGCTCCCACATTTTCTCTAGAACATCGGCACACAGAAGGCGGTAAGGTTGTCACCTTTACGCTCCGGCCGCCCTTTACCCCCAAGAACATCCGAAGAATATTCCTGGTACTCACTTCTGTTAGAGGCTGAGTTGACCCCAGGGCCATAGTGCGGCTGGAAGGATTAGGTATTTATATACCTACTAGAATACCAAATGTTATTGTACAGTACCAAGCAGGTTGCTGTAGGGTTATTTATTATTATTATTATTATTATTAGAGGGGGTGGGTTTCCCCATGCACTTAGACCAGTTATTGGTCCATTGTGCGTCCCCCTTTAATTTCTACTGTCGCCATACCCTACCGGTACTGGTGCGTGCCATCAGCCCCGTTCAGCCAAGGAGGTCGGCCCTCGGTACCTGATATTCCCCCCATCTACCAGAGGCATTGGAAAGTACTTGGGCGGGAAACTTGATGTCTAAGTTTGCTCAGAGGTGCCTTAAATCTACGACACGGGACCCACGGCTTAAAGTCCCTCCCGGAGGACTTGTTCCCTGAATATTTTCGCCCTTAAAAATTCCACGACCTCCGCCGGGTTTGAACCCGCGTACCTTGAGTCCTGGGAACGTTACCCCTAGACTACGGAGGTCGCTTTGTTGTAGGGTTAATGCTTTAGACTTGTATACGAGATTGGTTCAGTTTACGTCTCAAGCCGTGACACCAGCTAACCTGGCTAAAGTTTTTTATGGTTTCTTTCATTCCCCAAGTGATATTGTGGGATAGTATTTGATTAGCCCACTACACTTCCGTCCAAATTCATTCACATTGACCAGTCATTCTATAACACAGTCGTGATACAGTAGTTAGCACTCAGTATGGAAAGGCCCAGGTTCTAATTTCTGCCCAGAGATATTTACAGCTCTTGGGTCGGTGGATCCTTAGTCAATCCAGGAACTAAAAGGCCATCATAATTGTCTTGTTGTTTATATAAAGTTTTGAGTGTTTTTTTTTTCTTACATGTTGGAGGTTATGCTGTTTTTATTTTATGTCCACCCATCATTGAAGCAGTTTTGGTTA